AGTAAACTATATTAACAAATGTCCAACCTGTCTCGAATCAAAATATGAAAGACACCCTTACAACCCGCCATTTCAAGGTCCCCTAATTTCGAAAAAACCTTTACAACACAAATATTGACGTTCTTTCGATCGAACAAAATCTAGGGGAGGGTGGTACACATTGAAACGGGGTACACAATGAAACATTGCAATTTGTCAATTTGAATTTGCCGCTACAACGCCACTAGCGCTGTCGCGGATGAGTCTTATGATGTTGCATCAGCCACCCGTTAGTTGCATTTGATATTCGCAAGAGTGCACATTTCATTACCAAATTTGTGTTTTTTGTGTCTTAAAGTAAAAAAAGAAGCCAATATAAAAAGGTATGTTATTTACAATTAAGCAGTTTTAGTATCCGTTTATATTTGTTATGAATAATTAGAGTATGCATTTCTTAACCTATAAAATATTTTGTCCAAAAATGTTCTTGTCTTAGATTTACATCCAATTAAAAAAAAAATGCGTAGTGGTACACATTGAAACATAGGGTGGTGGTACACAATGAAACATGTTTCATTGTGTACCACCTTGTGTCTTTCTGGCCGTGGAATTTTTGGTTGTAGGTAACCATGGTAAGGAAGAAGAAGGAGCGAACAAGAGCTAAATTTACAGGCGATCAAATGACCGCAGCAGTCCAAGAGGTCAAAATAAATGGGACTTCCCTTCGCATTGCTGCAGATATGTTTGATGTAAATTTTGTCACAGTAAGGCGTTATGTACTAAAGGAACGAAATGACCCTAATACTAAAATGGAGCCGAATTATGCTGTTAGATTAATATTTAGCACCGAACAGGAAAGATCTTTATCTGAATATATAAAGACCTGTAGCAAAATGGAATTTGGGTTAAATACTCAAAAAGTAAGAGAGCTGGCATATGAAATGGCGGTCAGAAACAATATTAATATGCCAGATACCTGGAGAAGGAATAAGTGTGCGAGTAAGGATTGGCTAAGAGCTTTTATTAAAAGAACTAGGTCCTTAATTATTAGAAAGCCAGAAGCTTGCTCTTTATCGAGGCTTACTTCTTTTACAAAACCTAATGTCGAAAGGTTTTTCCTACAGCTTCAGAAAATATATGAAGATAACCTAGAAGTTGTTCAGGAAATTCAAATTTATAATTTGGACGAAACTGCTACTACGACTGTACAGCGTCCACATAAAGTAGTTACACAAAAAGGGGTGAAACAGTTGAACCAGTGCACAAGTGCCGAAAGAGGATTACTAGCCACTACTTGTGCTATAATTAGAGCAAACGGAACTTTTCTACCGCCGATAATTATTTTTCCCCGAAAGAAGTTTGTCCCTCATATGTTAAATGGCGCGCCCCCAGGCACATTAGGACTAGCAAATCCAAGTGGGTGGATGACAGCCGAACTGTTTGTTGAGGTGTTAGACCACTTTATTAAACATACTGGTGTGACAAAAGAAAGGCCATGCCTATTAATATATGATAACCACGAATCACATGTGTCCTTGGAGATAGCGGAAAAGGCAAAAAACAATGGAATCATTATCTTAACTTTCCCGCCACATACGAGTAACAAGTTGCAGTCTTTAGACAAAGCAGTATTTTACTCTTTTAAGAACTTTTACAATGATGCAATAGATTCGTGGCTCCTCACCCACCCCGCCGTACCCATTGTTACGGTACCACAAGCTACCTATTACAATTTTATTTTTAAGTCTTGGACCGCAGCAAGTGTTTGCTTCGGCTTAGCTCAGATTTAGCCGGAGAGGGGTGGTTCGCAACGAACTATTACAATATTTAATTTCTCTAAATAAGAAAGTGGGCGCCACTGACCTAAACTATAACTGCTACCTGGTCAGAAGGTCCCTATGATTACCTAAGGTATCCAAAACAGTAAATTTTGGTTACTTGAACAGATACTAAAAATATGACAATAGTTACACTTGTTTTCGAATCAACCTCCTGCAACGGACCTGGGTAGAGTAAAATAAATGTGAGGCGAAATCAGATAAGCTCCAATTTAATGATTCACCTACAAAATACGACTGTCATCAAATATAGAGTCGAACATGGAGTTAAAGATCTATCACTTATATACCCTGAGTTGACGATTATTTACATTCAGTAAAAAAAGTAAAATAAATACACATTGATCCCTACTTCGGATTTATATACCTGTGGTGATATCACTTAAGGTTCACAGACATAATCTTAACGTTAAATAGGTAACAAAGCTAGTTAAATCCCATAATAATATTTTCAATAAACAAAAATCCCGTAAAATCCACGTTATCGTATAACAATGATACTTAACAATAAATATAATAATAATAATATATACTATAATATAATACCCCCCCCCAATATAGGTTCAAAATATGTCTCAAGCGAAAAAACTAATCGTTAAAGAAAATGGTGGAAATTAAGAAAACCTGACAGTTACGTGATCCATAGCTGGTTTTACTATCCACCCTGTAGAGGTCCCCTTCCAAATCGTGTCCTAATCAAGCGTGAGTCGTCAACGCCAAAGTTCGTGGTCTGTAGATCGAGATTCTGTTCCGTTGTCCGTTTTCGGTGCCAAAGTCGTCTATGATTGATCAGTCCTACCCATAAAG